AGGGCCTTTTTTTAAAGGCTAAATGTTTGCCAGGAAAAAAAACCACTCAACCCTGCAAACAGACTAACCATCTGTTGGCCGTGATGTTCATCTGGGATTTTGGGAGATCTGGGTGTGAAGTTCAATCCTAACAATTTTTTTTTTTTTTTTTAATTACTGTAGGGGAGATCCAGCCCTACGGTGCTGGGTGGCCCCGCATGAGGATGAGGGAATGGGAACTCGACCCTGGAACAGGCACATCCGCAGTGGCCAGTCTGTTTCTGACTGATGGTCGGGCAGTCTCTCACTCTCCAGCTTTGAAAGGTTTTGTGTGGTTTTTTTGTCCTAATGCAGAATGGGCAAAATGCTTTAAATCACTTTTCATTCTGACCAAAGAAACAATTTCCTACGAGCTCAACCCTGAACAATAGAGCCTTGATCTTGATAGGGGGCTGTGGATGTTACTGTAATGCTAATACGTGGCGCGGTTGGCCTTTGCGCTTCTGGCACGTTTCAGGCACTATATAGGGAGTCTATAATCAGCTGCAGAAAAATTCCCTTCTGTCTCTCTCCTAGCAACCCCTTCTGAACTGATATTTGAAAATAAGCTTGCATTCCATATCATCATCTAAATATTTTCAACACTTACTGTCATTAAAATTCTCTTAATAGTCTTGGGACTTAGATAATTTATCTTCAGGTCCTCAGGACTCCCTCCTAGTTTCTATGGTTTTAAGGTAAAGCTTTTGAACTTCTTACCGGTTAGAAACCTGACTCGTATCCAGATTTTGCTCTTTTCTCTTGACTTTTACACTGGCTATATTTGACACAAAGTCAAATTAGTATACTGAGCTGATAAAGAGATAAAAGCAGCAGGGCCATAAGTCACCTAGACTAGTAGGAGCAAGCTGAGAGTCTTGAAAGGGTTTTGGTTGTATTTTTGTTAAACATTTTAGCACGTGTGAAGTGTTACAGACTGGGTTTGTAGCTCTCTACTCCTGACCCCGTATACACGTGGTGTAGCTGTGTGCCCTGCTGTGGAAACAAGGCAGGCTGCTCATACCAGTATGAACCAGTGGATTGCCACTAGAATCGAAAACATTAAAGTCTTTATCCATTACCTGCTCATTCTCTTTCTGCAAATCTGAATAATGAAGAGTGCGCAGTGACAGACAGTGGATAGAGGAATTCGTCTTGATAGAGTAGACTTAAACAAGGTGAGGGGGTTGTGGTCTTCCCCGTAAATGCTGACTGCGTGTTTGAAGTCCCGAGCACTCGTAAGAATGCTTTCTGCACAGATTTACATCACTAGCCGACGAAAGGTGTGGATGGAAATCCTGGGCATGAACGCAGATGTCCTGGGAGAAGTGCACAGGGGCTGCTGTGAACAGTCCAGTCACCTTAATTGTGGAAATCTTGCTCCAAATTCTTGATGCTCTTTTCCTGGGGCTTCCTGAAGCGGTACTCAGTTTGCTGAAGACCAGGAGCATTTTTCCTTCCTTGGAGCCACTTTGGCTTGCTGCAGGATCCGGCACCAGGCCCTGTCTAGCTCTGAATGCAGGAGGGGAGGTTTGTGGTGCCCTAGGCACAATTGGGTTCCTTAAGTCTTGTGAGTCTTCAAACTGGCAACTCTTTTTTTTGGATCTGAGTTGATTAATTGCTGGCGTGTTTGGAATGGGATTCGTTTGGGATTTGTAAGACTTGCCTTATGGAAAAAATTTGTCTGAGCTGAGAAAATAGTTGGGTTGGAGCCTGCGTTCTTTATTCTGAGATATGTTGCCATAAGCTGTGGTAGAGCTTTCTCTGGGAACGTGGTCCGGACAGTCCTCCGAACATGTTGAATCCCTTCTGCTGTTCCCCCATGCTTCTGCCTTGTGCTGCTGGAGGATTCCATGGTACAGCTTTGTGGGCTGGACAAGCCTTGAGGTCTGCCTGGGGTTCCTGGTCTTCCAGGAGTCCCAGCTTGTGCCGTAAACATTTCCTTTTCTGAAGACTTCCTGGAGATAGAAGGAGCTTGTAGGGTGTGAAAGTTGTTCGTTCTGTAGTTGCTCTGTGCGCTTCTCCTGTTAATGCTCTCCATGATTTTGTTAGTGGTGTTTCGAGATTTCAAAATTGCTCTGTGCGCTTCTCCTGCTAATGCTCTCCGTGATTTTGTTAGTGGTGTTTCGAGATTTCAAATTCTTGGGCATCTCTACCTTTACACAAAACTTGGTGGAGAGGGGAAAGGGAAGATAGTTCACCCCACTTGTGTTAGAAAGTGGAGGCTCACATGGAATTCACCTCATCCCCTGGAAAGAGGGCTTCCCCAGCTTCCTCAGTTCTGCTAATGCATTCCCAGAGATTTCTGCTGTGTTGATCCAAGAGCTTTATTGCTGAAATTCACTTTGTTTTCAGTATGTCCTCAAACTCTTGTATCATGTTAATAAACAACACGGTTGTTCCCAAACCTAGCATCTGCATCCCAATACGTATCCCTTTTGTGAACCTAACTCCCTTGCTGTTTGGGGGTTGTTCTTTTGTAGGAGTTTTAGGTCTTTGCCACAACAGGGAGAATAATCAAATATGGCACTGCATTGCTTGCTAATAGTTTTTTTGAACTTGGGAACTCTAGGACTGAGTCTGAGTGCAGAAAGCTCTGCTTTAATTTATGGTCAGTATTAACTTGCGGAGCCGAAGAGCGTACAAGCTGCAGCTGCTCAGAAGCTCGCTCTGAAGATCAGGCTGGGAGAGCTGGGTTTTATTATGTGGTACTTGATTTAGTCCTAAGTAAAACCATTTGTATTTAACCTGATCCGCGAAGCTGCTGTAAGTGTTAACATACTTCAGTGTTAAACGTTTCACTCTGGGGCATCATCATACATGGCGGGTTTGTGTAAGAGCCCGTTTCTGAATGTGGAATAGTTATCCATTAAATGTGCGTTTTCAAAGGAACTTAAACTCAGTTGAGCCTATATTTAAAACTTACTGTCGCAATACTGGGTGACAGGAAAAGATCTGGTGACGAGTGTCCCTTAACACCAGATCTGAAGCAAGCTGCAATACCTCGGTGCTAAGCTGCTCTCCACAAACTTGTAGGGATGAAGCTTTTCCCAGAGATGCCCCTTGGCTCTTAGCAGAAAAATCACTTGCGCTAGGGGCAGTTAAGGCATCGATCTGCCCTTCGTGAGCTGCTCTTGGGTGACTGCCAGGTGCGGCGAGCTACTTGCCATTCAACTGTCGGGCAAAGCAGCTTATGCCGAACCAGGAAAACTCCTGAGCCAAAACAAACTGCTGTAAAGTTTTCTCCCTCCCCCTGAGAATGAAGGGAAGAGAATTATTGCATCCAAACTCTTTTGGAGCTGGCACTGTGGGAAAACTGTCCAATCTGGGAGTCATTGTACTTGAGGAACTGTAATAAATCCTGACGGACCCCGCAGATGGGACTTGGATCTCCTGCGTATGAGTACGCACGCAGACTGCTGGGATTGAATTGGCGCTTCTGGATACAGGAGCCACTTCTCTTAAAGCAGTTTGACTGGCCTTAAGCAGACTTCATGGATTATAATGTGCAGTTGGGGATTTGACCCAAGCTGAGAATTATTTGTTCCTCGTTGTAGGTCCCAGCCAGTTATGTTTCTGGTGGGTCAGGAGTGTTTCAGTGAGTGTGTGTGTGCCAAGGCAAACGTGGTGCCTGTTTGCTCAGTGCCGTGGCGGTGCAAGGGGTTCAGCATAACTGCTGCAAAGCGGAGAGCTTCCTGGGCAAATTTTGTGTCTTGAAAACAGAAAACCTTTTGCATCCGAGTGAAGCATCTTGGTTGTAAAAGGGGACCTGGCTTCAGTTCCTCTTAGCCTGAGCATTTCTGCCAAGCTTGCTGCTGTGATGTTAAGGATCTTTTATTAGATATTCTGCACTGTTGCTCCCTTCGCTCACGGGGGGCAGCCTCTGTGGTGCAGAGCTGAAGCAGTCTGAAGTTCAGGTGGGAATAAACCTTTGATTTTTCTCCTGCTCTGTTTTTTGTCTGATGTTTCCCTTGTAATTCATATTAAGATTATTGATTAAAGGTAATTGCTGTAGGATATTATTCACAATCCATTAACCCAGATTTATCACAGAATTCTTCATCAAGCTTGGGTGCTGAAACATCGCTGTTAATTGTCTTAACTGAGCCTTACTTGAAATTAAGATTTCTTGCCTTTCCGTTTGTATTCCCTTCTTCCCAAAGCGCCGGCACTTTGATTCTTTCCTTTAAATGTTGGAAAATATGGTTGTTCTTTTCGCACTGTAACAGTGCCTCATAATCTCACCCTTCTGCCATCTCTCTGAAGACGCAGAGTTTTTTGGTCTTGCAAGTCAAATTAACATGAGATTGCTGTAATTTGCATTGTAGCTGTGGGAGGCCATCTGACAGCACCGAAGGCAGCCAAGGAGAATTGAATTCATCAGTACTCGCAGTTGTCAGAGCAGGGACTGACTGGGGCGAGTTCCGCTCCTCTAATCTGGGCAGGAGAGTAAACATTTAATGTGAGCGGTTGGCAAGGGTGACTTTCTGCTTTGTAACTCGTCCCCCGAGTGCTGGAGAGAGATCTCTCCAAGTCCTGGCCTCACCTCCAAGCCTTGCCCCTGCGGTTCGTATCTGTGTGCGGTGAGGCATCGGAGCTGTTAATGTTCCTGGATTTTAGCACCCCTCCACAGCCTGAATATGTTTCCAAATACATCGCTGATACGGACTCAACGTTTTCTGAAATCAGAGCTTACGCTCTGCAGAAGTAGATGGAGAACACTAAGCAACTCTGAGAGGGAGGTATCATCTCAAGATTGCTCAATGCAGGGGGAGGGATTCTTCAGTGTGTAGAACTGGCTTTTACTAACGTCATTGTGGTGGTGTGGTCACTTAGATGTGTCAAGACACTTAAATTACATGTTGTAGGATATTTTGAATATTTGGGTTTAAACTATTTGGTTTGACTGGCTTCCTGCAAGTTACTGAGTAAATGGGTTTTGTTTCCCTGGACTAAATGTTTTCCTTTACTTGATGTATCAGTATTGAGAGCAAACACGAAGTCACAATCTTAGGAGGACTCAATGAATTTGTTGTGAAGTTTTATGGACCACAAGGAAGTAAGTATATGACCCAGCCCTTCTATAGAAACAAACTAATGGTTCATGGTGGAGAACAGTGACATGGTACATTCTTCTGGAGTGGAAGAAGAGATGAGCAAATCTGAGTTGGGGGGAGAAATCAAAGGGTAGCAGTGTTTGAGGGCAGGGAGAAACACAACTGTGAGTGTTAATGCAGATGAACCACCTCCCTTGGAGCTGAGCAGAGCTGGATACTGCCTTCAAACAACTAAGCCCTCTGCTATGTCCTTCAGCACGCCTCTTGTTGATCCTTAGCTTTTCTAGACCTGGCTCATAAGTTTTGCATCAGTCATCTGAATTTTTGCAGAGTTTGTAATTAAGATGGCTTTTTGAGTGACTGGATCACAAGTCAGGTTTCCAGCATGCCTTAATTTAGTAACATCTCTAAAGGTAAGTAGATTATTCTAAAGTCTCTATTTTTAATAAGGCTCTTGTGTCTTTGTGCCGAGATCTTCTGCAGTATCAGTTCAAATCATGTATTTCTTGTCAGGCAGCACAGGAAAAAGGCTTTTACCGTAGGAGGTTTGATATGAAATCTTACCCCTTGATGGAACTAAGTATTCTTCCAAAGAGGTGTTTTGCTTCATGCTGTAGTTCTATTTATTCTCTCCTGAGTTACGAAGTGTCTAATACCTACTTTTCTTTCATTGCAGCACCATACGAAGGTGGAGTATGGAAAGTTAGAGTCGACCTTCCTGATAAATACCCTTTCAAATCCCCATCTATAGGTAACCAATAATCACTTTCAGTCAAAATCGTGTTACTGTTTATGCAGGAGTGATGTTATTGCTTGCAGCATTGTTGCAGGTGAAGTTGCACCAAGTCTCAGTGCAACCATAAGATCTTTACTTCAAGTCTGCAGAATGCTTTTACGATAGACTTCCAGATAACGCATGCCAAGCAGAGAGGAAGTTTGGTCTTTTGGCCAAAGGGCTAGGAGCTGGAAATGGGATTTGGTTTTTTAACAACACATCTATTCATGGGTACGGTGCAGGATACCACAGTGAGTGCTGGAGCCTGTTTATATAAAATGTCTTATTTGATATGGAGAGCAAAGACCACAGTGTGTGTTTGTAATCTTGGGGTAAACCTAGCTTTTGGGACCTCTTGCCCAAAAGTGGATTGAAGTGAAGGCAGGAGCTGAAGCCTCTGTCCTCTTGGACTAGGTGATGCATATGTGGAAGAACACAGGAGCAGGAACCTATCACCAGAAAAACTGCAGCTGCATAGACTGGTTCAGCTTGTTTAACCTTCGAGAGCAAATAGGAAGCTTGATAAGGAAATGTTCTTTAGACTGTATCCATCCTATCTCTGTCCTTGGGTAACAGTGATCTAGCTCAGATGTCTTCTGGTACCTAACTTTATTCCAATCACTTAAGCTTTAAATAAGATAGCCAATATTGCTTGAAAAACTGGAGCAGATGCACAAAGTTGCAACATCTCTATTCTGACTTATGGAATAAGCGGTGGGAGCTCCGTGACATGGCGCTTCTCCATCAGAAGGGTGTGCTTGTGCCTCAAGCCACCAGAGGACTCTGAAGAATGGAGAAAACAGCCCAAGGAGAACTGATGTGGAAACGTGACTATACGAGTTGGATGAGATGGGTCCCTTCCAATATCAACATCCTGATTTGGAGATGATAAGTATTGGCTGCTTTCTTAAAATAGACTCTTACGCTAAGAGTGTCTTCTATTTAAAATCTCTCTCTGGTGTGAGAAATAATCTGTCTGGTTCCAAATGTGAACCGTGCCTTTTGGGAAAGAACGGCGCTGTTTTTATGCTGTCCTTTACCTTTTTTTTTTTTTTTCCTGTTGAAACCTTGACCGAACCACAGAAATGTGCACGTGGCTGAGTAACAATGCAGTATTGCTGCAGCTACGTGAACCCTTTTCTCCTTCCTCTTGAGTCAGCCCTGAAACTTGCTATAAACCTCTTAGGTTAGAGGCTGTTTACGAGATGCACAGTATGTTATTTGGTGCTCATCGTTTTTTCCTTCTCAAGTGACACAAACTGATGCAGATCAGGGTATTGTCATGTTGGCGATCTTAAAAGTGGACTGATGAAAGACAACTCTCAGCATACAAACCATAATTTCCTTGATGTTAATTGCTTTGGTGCTAGTCTACTCAAGATTATTTTTCTCTATATATATATTCTTCCTTTGTGTATCAGAAATCAAGTTTGCTGGTTTAAAGCAAAACCAAACTTTCTCCAGTAGCCTGTGAAGCCAGTGCAGCTAAACGTTGGCCGGGCTCTTGTATATTCGTAGTGGTGGTGGTTTAGGCTCCGGTTAGTTGTGTGGAAGATGGTAGGTTTGACCTTTTGGTGATTTTGCTTTGAGGCTGTTTAGTGCTGGTTGGGATAGGTGAGAGTAAAAGGCAGCCTGGGATCAGAGTTGGCCCAGCTGCATTTTCGGAACTGACACCACCAGGATGGCCTTTCTGCTTCTGAACTTGGGGTGGGTGGGTGTGCAGGGAGTTGTTTTCTGCTCAAATCACTGAATTGTTTTGTCCCTTCTAATGTTGCTTTTGCCGTCTTCCTTTTAGCACAGCACCTTTCCATTCCATCAGCTTGCTTATACCTACTGTGTGGCGCCTGTTTTATTCCAGACTCATCAGACCTTCTAGCATGCTTCCCTTGCCCTATGAGTCTCTGCTGGAGTGGCTGAAAAACCACCTCTTCTCTCGCTGAGTTCCCCAAAAGGCTGGCTTTTGCTCTACGGCCTGCCTTGCTGTCTGTTGGGCTGCTGGAAGTGCAGGTTACCTCCCGGGCAAAGCAGTGCACAGCTGAGGTTTCAGGTTGAATAAACAGTCAATGCTAGACGAGAGCTGGCTTAGCAAAGCAGGGCTCGGCTCTGCTGCAGGGAGGAAAGAGCTGAGGAGTGGAAGCGCCAAGGGGAGCGCTAGGACCCGGGGAAACTCCCAAACATCTGCAGGAAGAAGTTTGTTTTTCTTTGTCTGGTTCCCATTTCTGCTGCCCCAGCTTATCTGGACAGCCAGGGCTGAGTGACGTCTTGGCCCTTTCCTCTGGGCCAGCCCGATCTCTGCACCGCTGTTCTCGGAGGCAGACTTGGTGTGCGGTGCCTGATATCGCTGGTTTGGGCATTACAGATAGCTCCGGAGCAAGCCTTCGTCCCAGCTGAACCGGGAATGTTCAGAAGCCTGTAAATGAAACCAGATCCTGTTCTTTCCCAGGTCTGTCTGTTCCAGTGAGCACGGGTGTCCTAACCCAGCAGTCCTCAGCCAGCTTGAACTCTGGATAACACAGGGGTAGGAATTAGTAGGGAAGAAATTTGCCATGGCAATCTCTGATCTATAAAGAGGTGGACGTGAAGGATTTCAGAGATGGTGGAGCCTGTGAATGGACATAAGGTCATCTAGAGCACATGTGTAGCTTGTTTGCAGCCCTTCTGTTCTCAGCACTGCATAGCTCCCACTGTGTTGATGACATGCAGAGTTCAAATTGTGTAAGTCACTGGCTTGTATAAAATATAGAATCCAGCAGTTTCTTTTCCTTTAATAAATTACACTTTTATGCTGAAGCTTAACACCAAAATGCTGTTCTTGCAGCTTTCCTTGTTCCTCTAGTACTGTAGGCGAAAATTTTCTTTCCATCTTAGAAAATCTTAATGCAGTCTTGAACATGGCATGGGCTTTTTGCAGCACATAACATGATGGCTTGAAGCATATCCATGCGTTCTAGAAAGCCGCTTCTGAAAAATGACTGCTAATAGTTGCTTTATAATCTGTTCAAATTGCTTTTATCCCAGCATGGCTCTGAGTATAAGGTACGTGAAAACTTGGTGTTCTCCTCTAAAGTGCGACTGACAAACTTGAAAAGGTTTTTAAGGTGGGTTCCAGATTTGTCATCTGAAAGGTGTGGACCTTTTTGTAAACCTTAAATGATTGATGGTCCTCTTTGCCTTTGAGGGTCTCGAGCAGAAGCCTTCGCTCCGTATGGTGGCTCTTCTGCCACATCTTTGCTCCCTTGTCCCATCCACAGCTCCCTTCTCAAATATGCGTGGCATTTATTTCCCGCCCTTCTCAGGTTGTTAATTATTGCTGTAGTCTATTAAATGATGCCGCCCCAGGGACAGTGTTTGCCTGACAATGCAGGTAATACCTCTGCTTAAAGACCTAAACCGTCCTGGGATCTATGTGAAAAGAGCAGTTCCCAGGAGAGCTTCCAGTGTTTCATCGTGTCCTGCAGTACCTTTCCGGTATTTCTGGCACTGCCTGTTCCTTGCTTGGTTTTTGCTGTGTGTTCGGACAGATCCCATATTGGTGCAGGATGATTTTTCCTAACAAAAGCTCTGTAACATACAGTAAAAAGGGAAACGCGCATCCTAGAAGAACACGAATCTAAATAGAGCCAGATGTAGGGCTGTCATGTTGGCTCTGGGCTTGAGTGCTTCCATTGAGATGAACTAACTCCACTCATGATCCCTAAATATCCAGATCTTCAGACTTGAAACAAACCTGAACTTGAGCAGTTTGTTAGAACAAAACCAACTCCTGAAGAATACCCAGTTGCTTTCTGAAGCTAGTGAATGCTGCTGCTCTTAATGCTTTTGTCAATTAATGTAAATAACCCTGCGTGCTTATAAGGACCCGAAGCGCTCCGCTGCTAGAAGTTTAGTTCCATTTTTGCTTTCTCCTAGACAATAAGTTTTGAGCTGTGTATAATTTCAGTAACCCTGCTGGCACTGCTCCGCTACTTTTCCCTTCCCTCTGGGATTTAATATCTTCAGGGGAACTTTCTGCCTGGTCTGTTCCTGCTTTTTCAAAGGGGAGTTGTGAAGTACTTGAAGTACTGTTTTGAGCTCCCGAGTCATGAGAACACTTTGTGTAAATTCTGTGTGTTTTTAATCAGTCCATACGCCTGCCAAGAGCCGGAGATTAATGCTCTTTGATGCCATAAACATAGGAGGAAGCGCAGAGTGTGAATGTCCTGCCCTGCTTTAGGTGATAGGAGCACTAGAAACATGTGAACCTGGGAGCCTGAGCTCTTACCTGGAAGCACTGTGGCATTTATTTTATGGCTAAAATCTGCAGAAATATTAGGCTGGCACTGAGTCACCCTGGTTTCTTAATAATCAAATGTCACAGCTGCAAAGTTTGCGTACAATTTGCTCAGAGCCTCAATTTCTCAAATAACTTCTGTATATTTATACACAGTTCTCATTTTCCTTCCATCTTCGGCCCAGTTATCTGCAGATATCTTGCGTTTATATTTCACCTTTCTCCTAAGTGTGTTGTAAAACAAAATATGTATGTACACACATGGAAGTGTGTGTGTATATGTGTATGTATATAACGAGACATTGTGGCAGCCAGTACAGGAATGAAGCAGTGTTTAGCTCCAGCCAGGATTTAACAGATCTCTCCTGGCCTGTGCTTAATTTTTCTTTTTAACTGCAGCTGCTATTTTTACTTTCAGCTCCTCTCTGGATTGCCTTACATTTTGCTACTTAGAATTTCATGAGTCACTTATCGCTTGTGACCATTCGGAGCTTGCTCTTCCCTGTGCGTGTTGATCCTTATTCTGACCTATAAGCGATGTGAAAATGCTTGTTCTTTCAAATACGCTTAGCTTTGTCTAAGGGGAAAGACGAGACACCTAAAGGTAATTTGTATCCCTGTCTCCACTCCGGTCTGACGCACAACTGTGCACCCTCTGCAGCTTCCCTGCTACAATCGGAGAATGGGAACAGACTGACAAAATGGG